CCGCCGACACCGTCACCGATTCCCACTGTACTCCCTCTGTAGGTTCCCTACGGAGGCCACACAGCCAGGGGAGAAGAGCACAGCTGATATGGGACGCATCCCAGAAGACTTTGAGTCTGGAAGACCGGATGTCAGCACTTCTGAAGAACACAGCACATGAATATTTATGAGCGCTGCATAGGTACCAGTACACTGCTTGTGTGTGTGTGTGTGTGTGTGTGTGTGTGTGTGTGTGTGTGTCTGTGTTTGAGCGCCGGAGGGCCATTGAGCACATAACACATCACTCTTCCTGAGGCCCACTCACCCTTGAGCGCTATATCTCCTCTACATTCAACAGCAGTGTGTGTGTGTGTCAGTGCTGTGAGTAAATCAAAAGCTCAAGCCTGCTCAGCAGAATCCACAGCGAGTCTCAGACTTTATAGAGTCAACGCTGAGCTCAAGTAAATCTACGTGTCTATAAACACACACTCACACACGTGTGCATGCACTCTCAGAAAAATAAAGAAGGTACAAAAGCTGTCACTGGGGCGCTGCCTTTGAAAAAATGCAAACCTTTGTACCTTATTTACCCCTAAAGAGTGCATAATAGTACCTTAAACGTGCATATTGGCACTTAAAGTGTACATATTAGTGAAAGGTACCACCCCAGTGACAACTGCAATAGCATTATTAAGTTATAAGCACAAACTTCCATTTTTCATATCTCCTGACCACTAGGTGGCACTGTGCCGAAACTGTGCAGTCAGCCTCAGGTCATGGTTATTATAAGACACACCAATTTTGGTTTTAATATGCTAAAGCGTTGCGGAGATATAGCCTCATGTCCACTTTGGCGCGCTCTTCATTCGCATGTTTTTCGAGAACAGTTTGACTAATCAACTTGAATTCCATCACTTATTTTTCCTGACATGGTCTGAAGAGGATCTGGTTTCGGTATTGAATCATCTTGAGCCAAGGAATCAAAAGAAAAGAGAATTTTGTTTCTAGCCCGTATGGTTCAAATGTTATTAGCATAAACATGAGTGCAATTTTTTGAACTGTTGGTGGCGCTAGAGAGTTTGAGTTAGAGACTCCAAATGTGCTATGGTTAATGTTGAGACTGTCCTCTATCAGTGTGCCAAATTTCATAACTTGGCTTCCATAGACTCAAGAGTGGAAGGAGCAGAAGCAGAAGCAGAAAATGAATGGATTTAATAGGTGCCTATGCACCTAAAATCTTTTTAAATGACTAAATAACAATTGCTGTCATGAGATCATGTCAGTCTTCAAGAGAATTTTTTTTAATCTACAGTCAGTTGTTCATGTTAATATCACTAATAGCCTACCAGCTATTACTGATACTAAATACTAACACTTTTACTCGATTTAATATTTTAGCCACTGTTCAAAGTTAATAAATAATACAAATATTACATTTATTTAAACCATTCGAGACAGTAAGATTTTCTTTTTTTTTTTTAGGCTGCATTAAATTGATCAAAAGTGTCAGAAAAGACATTTATAATTTTACAAAAGATTTATATTTCAAATAAATGCTGCTATTTTCTATTCAATCTTGAAAGATAAAATGTATCACGGTTACCACAAAAACATCGGGCAGCACAACTGTTTTCAACATTGATAATAATCAGAAATGTTTCTTGAGCTGCAAATCAGCATATTAGAATGATTTCTGAAGATCATGTGACACTGAAGACTGGAGTAATGATGCTGAAAATTCAGCTGCGCATCACAGGAATAAATTACAGTTTAATATATATTCACATAAAAAGCAGTTATTTTAAATTGTAATAATATTTCACAATATTCCAGTTTTTACTGTATTTTAATTAAAAAACAACCTTGGTGAGCAGAAGAAACTTCTGTCAAAAACATTAAATAATCTAAATAATCTAATTTAATAATGTTAATCTCATTAAATAATAAATTGATGCAACTCAGAGATGGCATGAATGCATTTACACTACAATTACATGTTTCACAGAGACATGTTTCAAAATAACATTTTCAGTATATAAATATAAAATGATACTTCTAAATATGGATTTAACACACATTCACGTAAAAAAAACAGCTATTTTAAATTGTAATAATATTTCACAATATTACTATTTTTTATTGTATTTTTGATCAAATAAATTCAGCCTTGGTGAGCAGAAGAGACTTCTTTCAAAAATATTAAAACAAATCTTACCAACTTCAAACTTTTGAACAGTAGTGTGCATCTAAACAGCACAGCTTCTATCATGTGTGAATGATGAAAGTGTGAGAGTAGCAGCAGCTTTAGGAATGTTAAGTTTGCTTTAGTTGAGGTGAGAGTGAATGTGTTGAATGATTTCAGTCATTCGTGAAGGCCTTCAGAGCAGTAAACATGAACACATTTCACTATCAGAATTCAATCAGTCCTCGTTTCCTCGTCCTAACGAGCTGTAATTCTGTCGCCTTTCACACGCACACCTCTGCGATGAGAGCGTGAGGTAACCATGGCGACCAGCAGCCTCCTTTAAGATTGATGGATGACGGCTGTCTGACATTGTCCCCAGACTCAGCATCACTCCAGCGCTCGATGTGTCCATTAATGCGGCTGCCGCCGTCGCAGCCGTGGCAACAACACAACACTCACCTGTGAGGATCGACCCGCAAACCTCGCTCTCCTTCCTCAACAGTCGAAGACTGAAAACGATTCATGGACAGAAAATGAAACGCATCTATGAGGCCGCACACTTACGTGGGTGTGGCTGTGCCTAAATGGGCGTGGTCATATCTGAAATGGGTGTGGCTTAAAGTTCTGCAGTACAATATCTTCATTTTAGAAACAAAGAAATCCTGTGCAATGCAATTTGGCATTACAGGCAGCGTAGAAAATTTTTTTTTACAAAAAATTAGTTCATTTTAGTTGCATTTACATTTTAGTAATCCTGTTACATGCTTTTCTCCTTATTCTTCTCCTTTTTTAGCTTTTGTTGATTTCAAGTATTTACATTTAGCTTTAATTAGTTTTCCTTTTACTTTTAGTATTTCCATTTTATTTCAACATTTCTAATTCTTAACTTTGGCAATTTTTTCCCCTTTACAATGCAGTTTGGCAGTTCAAGCAATGTGACAAAATGTACAACAATTTTATTTTTATTTTTTTTTGTACATTCCCATGTTTGCCACTGTAACAAAATGTAGAACGTTTGTATGATTTGTATGATTAGTTTGTTTCAATTTTAGTCATTTTAGCACATCAACTTATTTTATTTCAGTTAGTAGCCAAGGCAACATTTCTAAAGTATTTTGAATTAGTCTTTCAAGTACAAAAATATTTAAAAAGTTGTTTTCCATAGTTAATGAGATCTGGTTTACTTGGCCGATCGTGTGCACAAACACACGCAGGGTGTTTGATATGTTTGTGTTTTTCTGAAGGACCACGAGCTCTAAACTTGAACTAAAAAAAGACACGCCCACAAACCCAATATGTACAGTGGGTGTGACTAAGCCCGCAGTGGGGGTTTCCATGTCTGATGTGGGTGTGACTCAGCCCTAGGTGGGTGTGTTCAAGTGTGTAGTGAATGTAACTAACCCATGACGGGGTGTGGTCAAATGAGCGGTGGGTGTGGCTACACAAAATGTGGGTGTGGCTAATCCTGATGACTGTGCATGCGTATTTTATTATTATTTCTAAACTATTAGAATATTTATTAATATTGCAATTAATAACAGCTTTTCATTTTAATTTAAGTTAAATTCAGCTTTTTGTCAATATCATTAGTTCTTGTTAATATTAAATATTTCTGTTTATCTTCAATTTATTTTCGCTTTAGTTTTAAATCCAGGAAATGTAGTACTTCAATTTATTTTATTTTAGTGTAAAATTTTTGAGGTTTTCATCTGATATTTCTATTTTATAGAAGGTTTGTTCCCATTATCAACAATTTTGTGATAGTTTTAGTTATCGATAACAACACTGGTGCTCATGCCCAAATGTGGGCGTGTTTATGGGCGTGTTCAATTCCGTGGTGGGCGTGTCACTGCCTCAAATGGGTGTGTCTCCAATCCTCACCATTCTTGACCTCTACTTCCAGACATGACTTACACAGCGTAAATTAAATCTGAGTGGCGAGATTTTATTTTAAACTCCAGGACCTGAAGGAGACCCACAGTTTTCCCTTCTGACTTGCTAATCAAAACATCTGTCAGCGATCTACTCCTCTCTCGAGTGCCTCGGCTGTCGACGGCGCTCCACAGCGCCTTTCTTTCATCCATCAAAATGTATTATCTCCCCCTCATTTTTCACTCCAATTGTTCTTCTGTTTCTCTCCAGGTAAAGCCGAACTCGGGCTCTGAATGGACATGTAAATGAAGCTTTTAGATTAAATGCACCTGGGTGAGGCTCTGTCCCATGCGACCCCACGCCTGCCAGACGGAGAAAAACCCCTGCGCTCGACCACACCGACACAACAATAGACATCAATAGAGAAACAACAACACAGAAATAGTCAAATAGCACTAATAGGTCAGCGGTTGAAAACAATGCATGGCAGCGACTCACAAAAACTCAGCAGGCGTCGAGCTGCACATCAGACACATCCTGTTGGCCTTTAAAAAACACACAAAACCAACCGAAAGCAACAGTAACAATGCAAACACACCAGCGTATGTGTGTTTGTTCGGCGTGTATTAAGTCACTCAGCTGGGAATCGTCATTGATCATGGATCATATGGAGAGATAAAGACCGCCCACCCGCTGATCTCCCACAATGCACCTCACAGCCTGGAGTCATCAGCACACAATAAACAGTCTCCACAGAGATCTGCTCCACATAAACACACCTCACGTCTTTCTTCTGATTTCTTCAGAGCACATTCTGCACCTCCAAACATCCCGGGATGATTTACATCATATAGTGTTATTGTATAGTGTACACTATAGTATATAGTGTTATTGGTTACGGTTATTCATTTATAATTAATTATACATAATAGCTTCAAGTGTAAGCGTTTACGTTTTTGTACAGTGGATTGCTGGTTTTCACCATGCTAAATGACAAGAAACACATTAATAAGATATATTTACATATTTGGGGGTGTTCGTGATACTGTTGTTCATTTGTAAAACATGCACATTTGTTGCAATGTGTAAATTGGTGCATTGAAGCGAGCGCAAAAACGGATGTGTAAACAACTTCTGCTGTGATCTGCATGCAGTTTCAACGCGCTGACAGATGAATAGTCTGATGTTTATATCTGGGACAGATGTGTTTGCGGCGTCTCTACCTTCACGTCCACGTGAGCCATGAGCACAGCGAAGTTGGTGAGGTGTGTGCAGGAGCAGGTGGTGTGCGTTCGGTTGGTTCCCAGCAGCCGGCAGTCCTGCGTCGACCAGAAGCCCATCATACTGCGCTTCGAGTAGCTCCAGAACGAACAGTTGGGGTTGAAATTCTCCTCTGACTGCTGGAAGACGAGTAAGAACAAACTGCGTCAGCGAGGAAAGCAGCGAAACACACAACATAAGCGAGAATAAGAGTTACGCTCAGGGTCCAAAACATTCAGCAAACACTGCAGCACTGAGCAGAACTCATTATTACTGATCATGAAACTGCAGGATGGATGACAAAGACAAAATTGGATGACTGGCCGAGCCATTTTACCTACATTTCAAAGACAATAGAAGTAACTATGAAATTACACATAAAGATGTAGGCTACTTCAGTGGGTAAAAACACTCTAGAGTTCAGCTTCTGTAACTGCATGTAATACAAATTTCAACTATAATAAAATTCCAGTTTAATTGCAATTAACATGCAATTAGGTGTCCGAAAAAAAAAACAAAAAAACAACTTACTTGACATTAACTCTTTCCCCGCCATTGACGAGTTATCTCGTCTTTTACAAGAAAACGCTTCCCCGCCAAAGACGAGTTTTTACGGCTTTTCGTGTTTTCACTGTTATACACTAGGGGGCGCTATTACACATCTTCTGAACGAGTACAAAACCTCCCGAACAAGAACAGGACGGAAAAACGAGCAATCTCTTATGTAAACAGATGCATATGAAAAATAATGCCATCATCAGCAATAGACAGCATATAAATTAAAACTGCATAATGTTACAGAGTAAAATGTTGATCCGGGAAGTGGTATATGTCTGTGCAAGCTTTGGAGGTGTTGATGGAAGCGATTTACTGGATTTATGCTTTGATAATCGTACTGAATATTATCCACATGTAGTTTTTGATAAAAATGTGATTTTCTCACATTTTTACTCAAAATAATGATTTTTTTATGAAACCTACCTATATTCAAGTGTTGATAAAAAAAAAGAATGCTTTAAGCTAGAATAAAAATCCTAAGAAATACAAAATTGCATATTCAAATATTCATACAGCAAAATATACTGGAGGCCATCAAATTTTAGTGAAAATCATCAAAATCGCTGGCGGTGGCTGGCAACTTTTTTCAGAAATGCTGGCGGGGAAAGAGTTAAACAATAAATTAAATAAAACATAAAAAAACAGCTAGTTGCAACTAAACTAAAAAAGCTAAATCAATAAAAACTATAAAAATACAATAATATTCATTATAAAAAAGCACAATTAAATGCAAGTATTACAAACTATACATATATACAATTATTTATACAATTCATAATTTAATTAATAAATAATAATTTATACAAAATGTACATTAAAACTATAGACACAGTTACAAAAAACACAAAAAAAATGTCACACACACAAAAAAAATGCTCAACAAAATTACTAAAACTTTAACTCAAATTAAAATGAAACGGAAACTATAAAAATAAAAACTGCAAAACTGCTTCTAAAAATTAAAATAGTATGTCAATGATACTAATATAACACTGCTGACAACATTACAATCAGTTTACATGCAAGTATATCTATTTTTTTTAAATAATATTATTTCCACTACTAAAGTGCAGTTATTTTTTCACAAGGGTAAGCAAATACAGAATAATTTAGAATAAATTCATCAAACTAATCAATCTAGCCTCCATTCCACACTGTGACCTCTAAACTACAATATTCAACCCAGACAGAATGTTTTTATGCATTTTGCATTTTTAGAAAAAAATTCTAAGAATTCTAAGGAATGGATTTAAACTCAGGAATCTGCTGGCTAAAGCATTATCAAATTAGCCAAAATCTATAACAAACAGACACTCCGGGCAGCTGGCTGCTGGTATTCTGTGGAAATCTGCAGATTCCTTGTGGATTTGCCGATATCTTTCTCCCGTGAGTGAATCCTACGCATACAAACTGGAAACCACGTTTCCAGCTCTAATCGAGCCTGGAGGCAGAGATTCTGTGTGTGTGTGTGTGTGTGTCATTTTTGGGTGCGTTTCAATAAAGCGCTTGGAGAAAAATAATTCAAGCATAAATGCTGGTGGCGAGGGAATTGGCAGATTTTAACGAGCAGAACTATTTTTTTTTTACCAATCATGACATTGCAGGAAGGATGATAACAATAAAATTGGATGAGCCATTTTAACCATAAGACAATTACATATCAAAAGTCCTACTGAAGCGGGTCACAAAACACTCTAAGGTTGAGCTAATTGTGTTTAACATAGATTTAAACTATAATACAATTTCATTTAATTGCAGTTAACATGCACATGGAGCATGCATCTGAAAATACTAAATTCAGTTTGCACTTAAGTATATTCTTTTAAAGCGTATTACTTCTAATGCTTAAGAGTACTTTTTACAAGGGTCCGTTCACACCGAGAATGATAACTCTAATGATAGTTATATTAGTTTCCACATCAATGCACAATATTGTTCTGTTTATCAAATATAACTTCAGCTATTCTGCTAACTTTAAGTAACTTTGCAACTATATGTCAACTAGTAGACTGTCTGCTTTATATCTGTTAACACTTTATTTTGATTTTACTGACTGTAAGTAACTTTGACACTTATTTAACTAACCCTAACCCTAACCTAACAGTCTACTAATACTCTAATCTAATGGATTCAGCTATTACGTCCGTGTTTTCCACATCACATAAATCATAACGTCCTACAGTACAAGTGTCGAAATAAAGTGTAACCTGTTATTCTTTCACATTTAGAACAATATTTCAAACTTCATCTTTATCATTATAGTTGTTATCATTGTTGTGAGCAGGCCTTAATACAGAATGTATCACTATCATCCAAATAATCGATCTGGCTCACATTGCAAACCCCTCTATTCCATACTGTGACCTCTAAACTACAATATTCAACCCAGACGGACACATTTTCTGCATTTTTCGAACTCAATGAAATTGATTTAAACTTGATTAAAGTTGATTTGCTGGGTGTGTTTCATTAAAATGCTTGGAGAAACATACTTCAGGCATGAATGTAGGTGGTGTGACTGAGGGACCCACACGATTATTCCAAGGAATTTCCTCAGAAAAATTATGTTTTATTCTGACAACAAATCTCATAGCGAATGCAACACAAACCGCTTGGCTCTGTACCTGAATATGCCGCATGGTGAATATGACGGGGTCGGACAGGTAGACTTTGTTACTGTCTTTGTTGATGGCCGCCGTTATAACGGGAGAGTTGACGATGACAGAGTAGTTTGTGTTTAACGTCTCGCTGCTGAACTTCATGCTGGCGTTTTCAGTGGACAGATACGAACCCAGATGCTTGTACAGGACGAACGCCATCCGGATCTCCCCTGAAAGACAGAGCGGCTGTATCAGCATTATTATGACAAAGTTCAGTTGTTTTAGTTAGCTCAGAAGTATTTGGCTACTCAACAGAAGCTGAAAAAGCCTCACATTTGAGAGAATCAAATAAGTTGGTCAATCATTAACGGAGGCTTGGGGCAAAAATGCCACCAAATCTCAGAAATATGCAGAAGTGGCCCTGAATATGCCCTTGTATGAGTTTGTTTTGAATTTTTAAAACATATGCACACATGCAAGAGCACAGCTTTTCCCAAATAACAGCATGACTGCAAATGTGATATTGATTTTATACTACAGTTTAGTAACAAGTCATTAATATTAAGTATCTTAGCATTTTAGACACAATATTGTCTGTTTTTGTTCTATTTCACAAGCAATAATAGCTCCAAACAAAGCCACAGCAGAACTGTTGCACATTGTGTTTTGTTACTAAAAAAGAAACAGGCGAGTCAATGATTCAATGACTCACTTATTATAACAGTCACTTGTTTCATATTTAAAAGTAAATTTCATATTTCTATACTGAAAATGTTATTTTAAAGCATGCCTCTTATAACATAACTCGTGTAATTGTAGTGTAAATGCTAGGGTTGGGTACCGTTCACATTTTAACCAGTACGGTACCGGTATTGGTACCTGCATTTCGGTGCCGGTACCTAACGGTACCTTTTTTCAGTACTTTACTCTCTGTGTAATTACAAAAACATTTATTTCAGTGAAAAAATAAGTCAAAAAGTCTCAATTTCAACAGACTTTTTCTTTTTTTCTTTCTTTCTTTTTTTTCCCCCCAGAAATTCTTGTTTTATTTTTTCAGAAAATCAAATGAAGGCATTAAACATTTATTTTAAATCAAATGAAAATAAAACCCTTTTAGCTTTTGGCAAAAAAAACTGAGGTTTACTGTTGAAATTAATACATGGAAGAAAAATTGTGTGAATATTCCTTTAAAAAAAATTTAATAGGCTAATAATTGTATAATTTTTTCTACAATTAAGTGATTTATCTGGTTGTAATATTTATTTTTATCATTTAATTGTTTTATTTAAATTTGATAGAAAATGTATTATTAAAAATATTTAAAGATGTACATTATACTGTACAAAAGTAATACAAGAGTAATATATTTCTGTTACATGTTAAACCGCACTTTTATTTTGACAGGTTGCCATGAAGCTACTGTGTGTATACAGTATGATGATGCTAGTTTTCTCAAATGAAACGGTAAAATTCTCGCGAAGTGACTCTTACAATAGCTCTGGGGATTAAGTTTTTGTGTTCATGCCGTCATATAGTGAGACGCAGAGGCCGGAAATCACCGCGAGCGTCACACGTGCTTCAGTATTTGTGTAGTAAACAAAACCGCGTTTCCGCCATTCATACATCATGTCACAGGGTCTCTCTTTCTCTCTCTGTAGCGTATGCGCACAGATGCGTTTTCAGGTACCGAAATTTGGCACCGATTGATTTAACGTGAATCGGTACTCTGTAGTACCGACGCAATTCGGTCGGTACCCTTAAAAGTACCGAGTTCGGTACCCAACCCTAGTAAATGCATTCATGGCATCTCTGAGCTGCATCAAACAGTTGGGAGTGTTTAGATTGTTTTAATGTTTTTTTGAAAGAAGTCTCTTCTGATCACAAAGGCTACATTTATTTGACCAAAATTTATCATTTTTATCGTTTGATCAATTTAATGCATCCTTGCTGAATTAAAGTATTATTTAAAAAAAAATAAAAATAATATAAAAAATAACACAAGTGCAAAGATGGATTTTATTGGATTTTATTTTATTTTATTTGATTGGTAACCACCTTTAGGGTTTTATTCGTCTTATTTTATTGATGAATTTGACATTAAAGATGATGCATACTGTACATACAAGGTTAGAAAAACTTTGCCCTTATAAAAATCCTCCTGGAAATTACTTTAAGTGGGCAAATATTGGCCCTTAATGGAAAAGTTAATTTCGGGAGCTCGTTTGGGAGATCAGCCACCTGCTTAAGCCTTTACAAAGCCAAAGCGACAGTACTACAAAGCAAAACTTGTCAAATCTGCTGTTGAACATGGCCTGATGGGGCATACCGGGGTTCAGCCGCACGTTTCTTTAGAGTTCAGTAAAAACTCTTCATCACCACATCATTGAGAGCAAGCAGACACCGTCTCCAGCTGATCGAAGCCCTGTTTCAGGCGTTATATTTGAGGAAAAGAGCAATGAAGTGAAATAATTTGAGCTTTGATTAGATGGGATTCGGTAGATCACGTAATGCATACATAATACCCATAATGCTTTGTTCCTCTCGGCAGCATTTACTGAGAGCCACAAAGGTTTCGAGTGAGCGAGAAAAAGGGAGGAAAAAAAATCTAACCGCAGAGTCGATTTGATTCAGCTTTATTGAAATGTCATTAGCGCTTTACTGCCTCCTTTGTGAGAGCTACAGTTCTGCTCGTTATTTTCGCGTCTCACTTGCTTTCTTCGTGAAAAGAAATGAAAAATCACCCCACCGCCGCCTCCCTGTCACGTCTGGATCACTGACTCACAAGAACACAAAACTATTTTTTTCGCGATTATCGGTGACGGGCTGTTTGGTAACAAGCGTTTGTTCGCAGGAAGAAAAACAGGAAAACTTTCCATCTATTTTGTTTTGCCAAGTAGGATGTTGGAAATCAAGAGTTTCAGAGAATGGAAGTGGCTTTCAGCGTTATTTTAGTATCACTGATGTACTAGTATAGTTTGTATTAATATTTTGAATTAGATTTTTTTCCATTTATTTTTTTCTTCATTTTAATTTTAGTTAAAATTTTAATTTCGTTGTGCATTTTTTTTTTTTATATAAATATCAGTATTGTTTTCATAAATTTTAGTTGTAGTTCTTTTAGTACTTCAACTTAAATTAAAGGAAAAGGAGAATAGGTTTAAATAGGTTTTTTTTTCAGTTTAGTTTAGGCATATTTTTCGGTTTTAATTTTTAGTTTTACTTTATTTAGTTATGCTGGTTTTTACTACAACTTCAACTTAACAAAAATAAGAAATGTTGCCTTGACAAGTAGTTAAAATGAAATACTAAAATACTAATGATTATTATTATTTATGTATTTTTTTATTCATTCATTTTTATTTTATTTCATTTAACGTTTAGTTAAGTTTTAATGATTTTAGTTTTAGTTTTAGTTATTTTAGCTTTTTTTTAATCAAACTAAATGAAAAAACGAAATGTTGCCTTGGCAACTAGTTGAAAAAATTTTTTTTTCTTTCTCAAATAATTTATTTATTTATTTTAATGTGTATTTCGTTTTAGTTATTGTATTACTTCAAAATGAAAATGATAAATATTGCATTGACAACTAGTTATATATTATTTCAGTTACTGTTAAATTATTATTTTACTTGGCTGTAGTTATTTTAGTACTTCTAAACTACTTCACTAAACGAAAATGACACTAAAAGGAAATTTTGTGCTGGCAACTAGTTTTTAGTTTATTTTCTCTTAGTTGATTTTAGTTTCAGCTAGCGTCACATACAGTATGACCGTCTCATGACCCCGTGTCTTTACCGTTTCTGCCGTGCTGTTTGAGGGTGTTGGCTGACAGGTGGATGGTGTTTCCCTGGCCTCCTGTCTGTGGAAACTTCAGATCGGGAAGACTCCCGTCTGTGCTCATCCTCGCCACCTCCAGCTCTAAACAAAGACAAACACACACAGAAAAATAATCCACACAATGCATGACAAGTGAGGATTCTGACAATAACACACCACAGAATTCAACCGAGGTATTTTGAGTTTAGAAGTATAATGAAAGTGAAAAAGGACTGAAACAAAAGCTGTTTTACATAATGTGCTCCATCCCACTTGTGTGCTATTCTGCAATCTTCTGATTCATACAAGCATTTTGTGAGAGGAATTCAAATTGCAATTCACTGAAAAGCGTGATCTCTATTTGGTGTTCAATAAAACTGTAGCAATGTCCAATTCATAAACAAAGCATTCCTTTGAACAGATTTTTTTTTCAATTAATCATTGAATCTGAATGATTGAATCACTAATCAGACTAATACAGTTCTCAAGGTCTGTTTTTGCATATGTGGATTACAGAGCTAGCTTCATTTGATGATTTGACTCGATCTGGATTGTTTAGTTCTTCCAAACACATCTCAGTTGTTCTCATAGCAACAGATCCGTAGGACCAAACTTGGAAACAGGTTTATGTGACGTAAATAGGATTGAACTGCAGCGATTTCAGCGAAGGTGATACTTTAAGGCTCAACATAAGTTCTGTCATACAAGAGCACCCTGTTGCTTTCCGTTCACACTGACCACTTTTATACGTTTTCTCTTTCAGCCAATGCTCCCTCATGACAGTAGTTGAACCAAAAGAGAAACTTTGACAACGCACATTTTAAAACGCAACGATGCACGACATCGAAGCGGTTGCGTCACATACTTGCGTAGAGTCTGCAGTTCGAATGGAGAATGAAACTCCTGCTGTGCTGTTTGCACAAATAAAAGCATCTCACGCTGTCTGAGATTTCGACAGTGATTCAGCGCAGCTCTCTAATCAAAGCATGAATGCACTGACTCACTGCATCAGCGCCAGGCCTGCAGCCTGATTTTGGGCATTCATACACATGCTTTCAGAGAACCTGAAAAGAAGTCAGCCGCAAAATCCCCCAGCATTTACACAAACACTTATCAAACCAAAATTAGCATTAAAAATCCCAAAAGAGACTCTCATTGGGTGGCGGGTATTCGCCGCCGACAGGACAAAGAGCGATAAAGAGCGGTGGGCATAACCAGACGACTATAGCTTGCAGGAAATACGTTTTCATTCTCCCAGCATCGCTGTGAAAAGCTTAAGACTGCAAACAGCAAGCAGAGACGCTGTTGTGCCTCGAGAGAAATCAAAAGCCAGTTTAAATAACACGTTAATCGCCCAAAATCTGTTCGCCAGATTATGAGCGTGAGGACAAACACGCTTTCCATTAAAAAGAGGGAAATCTAAACACAATGGCACGCCGTGTTTTTTTTTTTTAAAGCACATTATATTCAACCAAAGGAGGAGGATAACAACCACTTCAGGGTAAGTTGGCAAAAGATGAGCATCCATCCTCGCACACAAACAGGCTTTTATTTCCCCAAACGACTGTGTCATCAACACTATCATCAGATGGCAACGCCGCTAATCTTCTCTCGATTCTCCACATGGCATGAAGTTGGCACTCTGCATCGTCTTAAAGGGATAGTATGTGCAAAAATCATAATGTAAACCCGTATGACTGACGTTCTTCTGTGAAACACAACAGGAGATCATCTGAGGAACATGGGGTGTTGAGCTTCAAAATGAACAAAACAAAAAAAAACTGAATAAAACAAGTGATGGTTCAAGTCTTCTGGACCCGTATTAATGCTTTGTGCAAGCACAAGACCAACATTTAAGTCATTAATTAAGTCAACATTCTATTGATTTATGTTTTTGTGCAGTCAAACATACAATCCAGGACCACTGGAAAAATGTACCTGTGGTGATATTTCTAAAAAAATGATATTATGTTTCATCTTGCAGTTACATATAGTGAAATGTTCAGTTAGTGGTGCTAAATGTGTGTTCAGTTTGATCCAAAACAGATGAATGTGAATCTGGCAATGTTTTACGCTGGTTTTTGTATGTATCACAGTTGTTTGGAAATGAAATGCCTGGTTGAGTGGTGTTGTAAGGTCAATACTCTATAGTGTGTTAAAATAACATACTATCTACCCTAAACCGAACCAATAAGAGTTAACAAAACAAACGTGATAAAAGCTCATTTGTTGAAGCAACCATGTCATTTTAGCTTGTTTTTGAGTCTTTGAGCTGTTTTATCGTGACTTGTGTTTCAGGGGGCTCGTATTTTAATGCGTTGCATCTCAAATGCAATGATGTACCGGGTGCGCTACCGAGCACGTTTACTACACAGAAAAGCCAAATATATGGAGATGTTATGTGATGCAAACATCAAAATACTTAGTTTACAAATCATGCGCTGTGGTAAAGTGTTTTTTTAAGCTCATAACATAGTATTGTACAAGGAACTGCTTGAAAATGTGTCTTTATTAATCAATAATTTGCCTGTGTAATTATAATTTGTGCGCTAAGGAATCAAAATTGTTGTTGTTTTACAGCCACTAGTTTTCACTTCAGCTATAAACTGCAGTGGATTATATGTGCACATTTTATTAATTTAGCAAAAATATATGCAAAGGCAGTTTTTCCAATGAGTCTTGATTGCAAACAGCACTTTAGATGCATTGTGTCAAGTTTAACGTCAAACATCACTGGTTTTTGCATGTGTTGGATGAATAATTCTTACATTTCAGTATGTTTCTCACAAAACATGTCTTGGAATATATTGCAAAAGTTGCATGGATGAGACGGGAGCACATATGAATGCTTTTTGAAGCTCGACTATACACCGTAAAAATGTTTTTTCAAAGTTTTGAAGTAAACAAAACAGACTATTGGAGTGTTTTACAAGAAAATACTTTAATTGTGAAAATTTTTCACATTTATTCAATGTGTTACCTGTCTTTTCTATTAAATCAATTGTGAATGAAAACTGTTTGGACACTGTATTTATGGAAACAGCATCTCCTTGTGTGTTCCACAGAAGAAAGAGTATAATATGGGTTTGAAATGACACGAGAGTGTGTAAACTTTTCAATTCCGGCTGATCTATTCCTTTAACGGAAGGCTGCTTTTCGTCTTGCCGGTGTCGGTGACGGACTCAGCGCCCCCACGGGCCAAACAAAGCATATAACTAACAAACTAACCCCATCAAACAGGGCCTGAAGGTCTGCTAAAGGTGTCAGAGCCTGCAGATTAATCGCCACGCAACACGGAGGATATAAAATAACCCTCGTAAAAAGTTTGTTGGAGGGACTCCCTCCCCCCACGGAGCCGAGCCCCGGATACCTTAATATCAGGATAAATCGCATGCCAGACACGATAAATTCTGTTTTATTAATTCCCAAAATGTGACCATCTCCGCAGAGAGACGGCAGACCTACATTCTGGAGTTTCCATGGCAGCCAGTCCGCCTTAAATCCCCGTCAGTAGGAACGGGAGATGCATCCGCTTTCATCCCAGAGGAATATACACACAGCACACAACAGCCTGATCTCGGGAATGCTGACATTCACACTGTGATATTCGCAAACAGATGCGAGCGGGACAGAAAACCGTGGGCGTCCTCAAAACGTCTCGTCCCATTCCTCTGCGGGCTGAGAAACACGTCGTAAACGACACTAAATTATCGCTCGGAGCTTATGCTCACTCAGCCTTTCGTTTAAAAACGCTTAATTACGCCTTCCAGTGAATGAAATAACACGATTCGCACACATAAAGGAGTCAAATGCGGCGCTGATATGAGGTTCTCTGTGATGAAAGCAGGTTTATCGGTGGGATTCAGGGCCGCTCGGGTTCATGGGCACCGCTGATAGCCGGATGTTCTGATTTCTGCCAAAACAATCAGAATCAAAAACTGATGCTTTCCATGGATAAGGAACGCTTTAATGCATTAGAGGTACAAATCCCATGTTTTTTGTTGTAACACAATGAAAGTGACCATTTAGAAGATGAGAAGCATTTCATATTCTTAATTTTTACACAAACTGTAGCGGTGACAGCATTTAAAGATCAACCCTGCAAAGCTCTTATAAAGGTTGACAACAACAAAATAAAAAAAGCAAATATTAGTTTTTCTTTCATTTCTGAGAAATATAAAAGCTAAAATGATCAAACAATTTGTTTGTAATGTATGAGAAATATAAATTACAAAATATATTTTTATTCCTGTAATTTATGAGAAGTATCAATGACAATGATCACGTTTTTTTTTATCATTTTTGAAAAATAAATATATAATAAAATTATTAAGCATTTTTTTTCTGTAATTCATGTGAAATGCAAATGACAAAATTATCAAGCAAATTATTTCTGTAATCTATGGAAAACACAAATGACAAAATGATCAAGCAATTTTTTTTTGTAAATTATGAGACAAATGACAATGATCAAGATTTTGTTTGGAATGAAATGATCAAGCAAATATATTTTCTTTCATTTATGGGAAATATAGATGTCAAAATTATCAAGATTTTTTTTTACTGTAATTTATGGCAAATATAAATTACAAAATTATCAAGCATGTTTGCTGTAATTTACGACATATCTGATATATATGATCAATTATGCAAAAATATTAAACACAAATTTATTTTCTGTAATTCATAAGAAATATGAGCATTGAGAAGTATATACAATAGTGATCAATAATTATTACAATAATTGATAAAAAATATAAATGATAAAATTACTAAGCATTTTTTCTGTAATTTATGGGAAATATAAATCACAAAATGATCAAGCAAATATTTTTTACTCTAATTGATGAGAATATAATGACAACATGATCAAGCAAATTGTTATTTTCTGTAATTTGTGAGAAATATAAATTATATTATTTAAGACATATAAAAATGTTAAGCAGTTCTTGTAATCTTTAGTTTGACTTCCAAAGGTTGGCAATTCATATTTTCTGAAGGTTCAGCACCTCATTTCTGACCATTGCTTGTGGGAAGAGAAGTCTACAAAGCATAATTATCTAAAAAGAGATAATAAAGTCTTTCATGTATGATTGTGTATATTCATCTGTACAGTGACTTTCATTAGCAGGCAAGGTTTTCGCTAGCAAGGTCAAGGTCATGTGTTGGATTGAGGAAGAATGCATGACTCACGGATGTTTTCTGTGTTTTCCTGCACGACGTCAGTCTTCAGCAGGTTGTCTGCGAGCACGAAGGCGCCCTGCTCGACGATGTCCAGCAGCATGGTGGCGGCACGCAGCTGATCTCCGCTCGACAGCTCCATCCACGCCGTCCGCGCCTGCGGCTGCAGCAGGTTATTCACCGTCTCCACCATCGCCTGCGCCCAAAACAGAGAGACCGAACCTCTTAACATCCTCAAGAAACACTACTGACTCAGAAAGCCCTTAAGAACGACGTCTGTCAGTGCAGTGCTACAAACACAACAGCATTTCTGATAAGATGCATCATGATGCACAAATCTATGCATAATGTACAGCGCTCTCTCCCACCTTCAATACCACGACTGATGTGCCCTTGAGCAAGGCACCGAACCCCCAACTGCTCCCCGGGTGCCGCAGCATAAATGGCTGCCCATTGCTCCGGGTGTGTGTTCACGGTGTGTGTGTGTTCACTGCAGTGTGTGTGCACTTTGGATGGGTAAATGCAGAGCACTAATTCCGAGTATGGGTCACCATACTTGGCCACATGTCACGTCACTTCATATGCATGCTTAGCGAATGAGACCCAATGACAGGAAAAGATGTGAACCTTCATTACCATGAAACCACATCCAAAACATTAAATGACAAATGGTACCAAACACACACAATGATCAAGCAAATATTTCTTCCCATAATGTATGAGAAATATAAATGGCAAAATAATTAAGCAAACAGGTTTTTCTGTAATGATAAATATTAATGATTAATTTCCTTTAACAAAATGATCAAGTAGTAATGTTCCATAATTTATGAGAAATATAAATGACAAAATTATGAGGCAGACATTTAATGTGTAATTTATGAGAAATATAAATGACAATAATCAACCAAATATTCTTTTCAGTAATTTATATAGGAATTTTTTTTTTAGAATTTTTAGGAATTCAGAAATGTATTTATAGGAAAATATAAATGACAAAGAACAAGCTTTTTTTTCTGAGAAATATGTGATAAATGATCAATTGATTTGTTTCTGTATTTTCTGAGAAATATTAATTAAAAAATGATCATTTGTTTCTGTATTTCTGAGAAACATCAGTAATAATGATCAAATATATATATATATATATATATATTTTTTTTTTACTGTGATTTACTGGAAATATAGATAATGATCAATCAAATAGTTTTTTTCTGTAATTTACAAGAAATAGAAATAACAAAATTATCAATATTTTTCCTTTTTTGAGAAACATAAATGATAATGTTCAATCATTTTTTTTTATTTTTTTCAAAAATGATCAAACACCCGGTCCCTCAAGCAAATATGTTTTTCTGTAATTTATGAGAAATATAAATGACAAAATGATCACGCAAATATGTTTTTCTGTAATTTATGAGAAATATAAATGACAAAATGATCACGCAAATATTTCCCATTGACCTCCGTGACAGCTAACCTTGACAAAGGCTGACAATTGACACTATTTTGAAAGTTAAAAAAAAAATAAAAATAATAATAATAATAATAATAGTTTCAGCCCCTATCTTGTATACTTTCTTGAAAAGTGCCACCTACAGACCACAAAACAAGAAGACTGGAAAAGTCACAAAAATTCATTGGTCAAAAGATGTGAACCTTCATTACCAGGAAACCACGTCCAAAACACTGTTATAACATGACAGATGGTACCACACACACACACACACACACACACACTCACTCACTCACACTCACTCACACTCACTCACACTCACTCCACACACACACACACACACACACACACACACACTCACTCACTCACTCACTCACTCACACAGAGTCATTTAACACGTGGCTCTGGTTTCTGCGATGCTGGATATCAAGTTGTTGAGATCAGTGAGCGGCATAAGAAACACAGATCTACAGCTGTGGCCGATCGTTCAGCTTTTAATAATGTTTAACCTCCATCATCAAAACCTCATCACTCGACTCAACAGCAGCACCGCCAATTAAACATTTAAAACGCTACGGGCCAAAAGCACCGCGGGAATGCTAATCAGCCCAAGCCTAAACATGTGCGGCCAGCGATCTCATAAAGCCGGCAAACTTCACGTTAGACTCAAACACTGAAGAGGAAGAGATGAAACAGCAGAGACCGCCAATCAGTGCTGACCCCACGGATCCTAATCAATAGAGTATGAAAGAGAAACAAGAAGATAAACTTACAGGCGGAGGCTTCATGCTGGACTGATGTCAAACAGCGCTGATGCTAAAAGAACAGATCAACCAGACACAAAAACTGCCTTTTTTCCACTGTATGCCTCTTTCCTCACACAAAAGATGTTTTGTTGAAACTTTATGCTTAAATTTTAGGCATTATTCACTGAAAATCTGCACCTCTTAAATCTCAGTCAGGGTTATGCAGTTTTAAACACACCTTGTTGCAACAGACGACCAAAAATGTGAGAACCAATTAATTCTGTCATGATACCAAAAGCCAGTACCAAAATCTGAAAAACTTAATGGTTCTCCACTTTTGATACTAC